TCATTAATTAATTCTTGGGGCGATGTATACGCTTTTACAACAAAATTCCAGAAAATATACAAAGTTTGACCTGCTCAAAGTTCAAAAGCATTATTAAACTAAGTTTGTATAAAAAGGGTTATTATAATTTTAAGGAATTTATGAATGATAATAACCCCTGGAAACGAGGTGATCGCTACCAAGCTATTTCTAATTTGTTGTGTTGTTAATTTGTGTAACATCATGATTGTAAGCTGTTATTTTTTTTTTAAAAAGTTCCGCTGGGTTTCTTGCTGATTCTTCCCAGGACAGAGGTTTTTTCCGAACCAGTGGTAATCAAACAAAAGATTATAATCTATATTGAATAAAAAAGTTTCTGTTTCTCTTTCTGTATTTATACGACTACAAGTTTAGTAGTCATGTACGGAGATACATACATAAGTTTTTACTTTTTTTATTTTATTTTTAAAAATACTAGTTATGCTATTAAATATTACTAATATTTCCTGTAACCATTTCTGGTAAGCTTAAAATGCTTGTGTTAGAAGTGGTTCACGACAGTAGTCGAATGGAGGATACGAACCCACGAACTTTCGAGTTCGCGGTGTGCGCCCTGCCATTAGGCTACTGACGCTTTTTGGTAGAACCATGCAGCTGTATTATAGTTGAAGCACGAATGGGTCGGCTCGACGGGAGAAGGGCCACTTTATCATAGAATACCAGCGTAATGCTGCTGGTTTCATATCGTGAGTGTAGGGAACCGAAAACCCTTTTAACTGGATACGAGACATTCCATAGTGGTCCTTAGTGATAACTTTTGATTCCTAATCGCAGATAGATGTGGATGTTTATGGGCCACAGAATCTACTTTTTTATAGAATAAGGCTGATAAACGAGCACACGGACCACCTGATTCATCCTCGATTAAAAATCAAAATGCAGATACGCTGCCACCCCTGCTACTGCTATCAAATAACTATCAGGTGGATTGTGTGCTCGTCTGTCATTTTCATTTTATAAAAAACACATGCAATTGTCTTCCTATTGAATATTAAAAAGGTATTTAAAACATTATGAAGTAAAAAGATACAAATAAACATAACACCTGAGTTCTTTATGAGACGTTGTTCTGTTTTTAATTATCGAATAGTTCGTAATGCGGCCAAGGCTGAAGCGCATATGGCTACACCTCATGACTACACACATCTGTTTACTATTTAAATGTTTAATTTCGTAAGGTCTCGATAGTAAACATTCGGAAAAGAATACGTAACTATTTATTACAAACTATGTGAACCGTTATATTTCTAATGGATCCCGATTTTTCAACGTGGTAGAGCCATGCTGTAGCTATATTATGGTTGTAGCACGAATGGGTCGGCTCGAACGGGGAAGGACCACGCTCTCACAGAAAACCAGCGTAAAATAGCAGCTTAACGCTGCTGTGTTTCGTATGGTGAGTTTAGGGAACCGGAGACCCTTTTTACTGGCAAAGAGGCATTCCATCTTAGACCTCACGGGTGACAGCGCATCTGCATCTTGAGTCTTTATTAAGGATAGATGCAGATGTCTATGGGTCACAGTAACCACTTACCCATCAGGTGGACTGTGTGCTCTTTTGTCACCCGATCCTAAAAAAAAAAAGCACGAATGTGTCGGCTCAACCGGGGTAGGACCACGCTCTCACAGAATACGAGCGTGAAAGTTAAGTTAGTTAAGTAGAAAAAACGTTAAACCCACACTAGGATTTTCTCCTATATCGTGGAGGCAGTTTACATACACATATACTCACAAAAATCCTGACTCGGAATTATATGTAGGCCTTACAAATAATTGTTCCGTGCGAGATTCTAACCAGCAGCTCTCATTGCCGCAACTCATTGTTAAGCCACTGCGCTACGGAGCCGTCAAAAAGCCGTTTCTTTGTCGCGTATTACGACTCCTACAGGACAATATGGGGTAGTGGACATTCTTACACAGCCACTACACGGTTCCTTATGAACATTACTAAGGTAAGGTACTTTAATACATAGTTATGTAAGTTAGTAGTAATATATAGCATAGTTAAGTTAGACTAGCGACACTATCGTCGTGGGTTTGTTTAGCCTGTATGGATACTTGTTAAGTGTGTGTAAATAAATAAATACTTTTTAAAAATTGTTTACGTGTGACTCATTTGTTATGAACATAATTAACGATAAAACTCCTAACCAACAAGAACAAGTACTGAATATTCTATTGAGATCAGGTGTTATCACGCTACGAGAAAATCGGCGTGGTCCTCTTAATGCTAAGAGCTTGAGAGCTAACGAATTATAGAGTTGTTCAGAGGGGATCTTTATGAAATCTATTATGTTTACGTAATTGCTTCATACTTTATAACGAAATTGGATGGGAAATTTGCTTCTATAATAACCTCTTAGGATAATCCAACAAAAATAGAAATAGGTTGTACAATATTGTAGAAAACATTTTATGAAATTGGGACACGTATATGATTTATCAGATAATAGACCAGAAGATGAGATTTTTTTTCATAAAACTAAGGTAACAAACGAGCACACAACCCATCTGATGGTAAGTGGATGCTGTGGCCTATTAACATCAACATTTATCCTCAATTAAGAATCAAAATGCAGATGCGTTGTCACACCTGGCCACTAAAATTTTGTTTTGATTTGGGAACCGTGGTAGTCATGAACTAGGAAGTACTTAGTTAAAGTTATTATAGTACGAAAGCAATCCGGGTTAGATCCCCGTTACCAATGAAATTAGTAATTAAAATTATAAGTGCCCGCTATGAATCATTTCTTACATATGAAGTCCACCAAAACTCACTGAAGCAGCACGGTTACAGCATTACTATAGCCCTATCAGAAATGAGAAGAGAAGGAGAAGGTTGAGGAGGCCAGAGCCCAGTAGTGGGATGTGTATTGGTCGAAACTTTTCTTTATTAACACAGAACAAACACGGACAAGTTTTTCCGTAAGATCAATGTCGCAACATTATTTTTATTATTACGTGATTTTAAGTTTTCTATTTTTCTTTCCCTGTAAAACTTAAAACTTACTTTAAACAATATATTTATGAATTCCTAATATAAAGAGGGGATAGGACTGTAACTCCTAAACACAAAGTTATTAATTAACCTAGCTAGGAGACTATTTTTTCTACCGACTTCGAAAACGAGAAGGCACTCAATTCGACTATATGTTGTTTTATGTGTAACTTTTTTCTGATTGAACCGATTTCGATAATTCTTTTTTTTATTTTAAAGCTTTGCTTCTCATGTGATCCCATATAAAGATTGATCAAGGTCAGACCAATAGTTTTTGAGTTATTTGAGTTATTATTAATAACTTGTATTGAAGTCGGCTGTACAAAATTTTTAATTTTAAATAATTTATGAGATAATAGTGACAAACGAGCACACAGTCCACCTGATGGTAATTGGTTGGTGTGGCCCATAGACAACTACATCTATCCTCGATTACGAATTAAAATGCAGATGCGTTGCTACCTGTGAGGACTAAGATGGAAATAGCTCGTTGCGAGAAATAAGGACCTCCGGTTCTTTACACTCACCATACCGAACACAACAGCCTTAAGCTGTTATTTATGCTGGTATTCTGTGAGGGCGTGGTCCTACCCCAGTCGAGCCGACCCATTCGTGCTACAACTATACCACTAATATAGCTGCAGCATAGCTCTAACACGTAAATCCATAATTAAAGAATAAATATATAGAAATAATCAATAAAGAATATGAATGTCGTAAAAGGTAATAGGTGCAAATCTTTTAACACAGGGAGTGCTTCAAAGGAAGTCTCTAATCCGGAAAAATGAAAGTTAAAACCGTAAGTAAACCTCACCGTCTCCGATCGAAATGTGGTCATACGAATCGTGCTCTAGAAAGTTTAGTCGGTATTTATATAATATAAACAGGAATAATGTAGAACAACAATCCCTATATAATTAACCGACTTCAAAAAAAAAGGAGGAACTCGTCAACAATTGTTCCACATTGAATATTGGGAATATATTCATACTGCTTCGTTGGCCATACCAACTGCAACTAATAAGACTGCTGATTGGTTCCGGTTATGGTATGCGGCTCTAATCTCCGGTCTGGCCAAAATTAATTATTGGTTTTTGTCAAAAATTTCTCCGTCTCTCTCTCTCTCTCTCTCTCTCTCTCTCTCTCTCTCTTAATTATCAGCCCGTAGTCAGGAAGTTGGCGGTGTTTTAGCCTTGTGCCTCGGAGGATTTCAGACTGTAAGAGTAGTGGAATAGAGACTATACCAGTCTTTGCACACACACTTGTACACTATAATCCTGTCCCGCGCAAATGGCTAGTCCCTGTCGAGGCTGGCGGCCGTGACCGGAATTAGGTCTGAAAGACATTATTATCTCCTTATTACATTACTATCCCATTTCCAGTTTCAATACAAAAGCTTAAATAATATACAAAATATTAATATATGTATGCAGGCCACTACTTCAATGCCTCATTGAAAAATGGAACAATAAATCCATGACCATATATGGCAAGTATTTCTGTAACTGATGCAGGTGGCTCAGGACCATGTTTCGTGGCATTCCTCGGGGGAGGCCTATGTTCAGCAGTGGACTTGTAAAGGGCTGTAATGATGATCAATGATGATGATCTGAGTAACTAGATGATAACTGCGAGTGAAACTTTGACTCACCCTCAGCGAAGATTCATTCGTATAAAAAGCTAGGTAAGTAGCGTAGTAAAAAGTTTTTATGCGAAAATATAACTAAAACTAACACCAGCTATTTTTCCGGACTGACACAGCTTAAAGACCTTCAAAAAAGGAGACCACTCTTTTTTACAACGCTGGCATTACATCTGCAATTTGCCTGTTGTTGCAGTTGTTCATGAGAGGCGGTAGTCACTTACAAATTATAAAAAGTACTATTGTCATTCTAGTAAATTAAAGTTGAAACATGTCCTATAGCTACTTGGTTTAGTAATTCGTGATGGTAATACAACTCACCCGTGAGCTTCAGGGGTTTGTTTTGAAACCGGCTGCCATGGCGACCGGTGACCCCGCGTGACCTGCGAACAAGGAAACCATTTAAATACAATGCCTGATACCTTTCTAAAAGCTGACTTTGGTCACTTTCTAGAATACTAAACTAGCCCATTTCAGAACCGACACGTAAATGAAATTTTAAAAACATGTCCATAGGTAAAAACCAAACCGTTACAGCTGATTAAAGTCCACTGCTGAATGTAGGCCTCCCCATAGATTGCCTCATAGGGGGGATATTTGCCATAGTTGTAATGTTACTGTTGATTTGAAAATTTCACCTCTCAGTGGATCATGTGCTGCTGGTAGATTATCTTCTATACATCCATCCATTACAGCCTATTAAAGTTCACTGCTAAACAAAGGCCTCCCTATAGATTTTATACGTGGTAGAGCCATGCTGCATCTATATTATGGTTGTAACACGAATGGGTCGGCTCGACCGGGGAAGGACCACGCTCTCGCAGAATACCAGCGTGAAATAGCAGCTTAACGCTGCTGTGTTTCGTATGGTTAGTGTAGAGAACCGGAGACCCTTTTTACTGGAAACGAGGCATTCCATCTTAGTCCAAGATAGATGTAGATGTCTATGGGCCACAGCGACCACTTACCATCAGGTGAACTGTGTGCTCGTTTGTCACCCTTATCCTATAAAAAAAAAGATTGCCTCATAGGGTGGATATTTGCCATAGTTGTCCCGCTTGTCAACCGGGTTGGAAAACGCAGATTTTTAATTGTAGTCGTTATTAGGAAGACGCTGCCGCCCATCTCCTAATTTGTTTCCCCTCTGTCGCCTCTTCCAACATCCACGGGTTGATATGTGGTAGTGGATATTCTTACTCCGCCACTAATAACACCCAACTTCGTAAAAAGTTAACTGAAAAGGGAAAAGTTTTATATCCGTTATCACTTCTATAACTAAGACGATTCCAACGTCACCTCATATGTTAAGATTCATCAAGATATTTAGGCTAAAGAACGTATCAAAGAAATAGACATACGTACATACACAGTACACATTACATACACAGACACACGTACATATACAGTCGGGTAATAAAGCACTTTACTAAGATGATTGTATTTATTATAAAACTAACAATATAAATGAATTTTTAACGCGGTAGAGCCACGCTGCAGCTATATTATGATTGCACCACAAATGGGTCGACTAGAGAGGGCAAGGAACACGCTCTCACAGAATACCAGCGTAAAATAGCAGCTTAATGCTGCCGCTGTAAATTGCCATTATAATAGAACAATTTTTATTCAATACTAGGGATCCGCGCCGGCTTCGCACGGGTGATTTCTGAATCTCGGCAACAGTGCTACCTACCAGTTCCATATTTAAATGTAAAAGTAAAGTAAAGTAAAGTTGCAGCCTATTTACGTCCCACTGCTGGGCACAGGCCTCCTCTCATTTCTGAGAGGGTTTTAGGGCAAGGAAATGTCCACCGCGCTGCCCCAATCCATTTTATCGAACTTCACATGTCATTGAAATATTTTTTTTTTATTTCTCAGACATGCAGGTTTCCTCACGATGTTTTCCTTCACCGTCGAACACTTGGTAAATCAGCACTTAAAATTGCAATTAACAATTTCATTGGTGCCGGCGGGAATCGAACCCGGGTTGCTCGAGTACTGTTAAGCTTACAGCGAGCGCTAACCATCTGAGCTATCACGGCTCTAATTTTTAAAAATTTAAATGTAAACCATCTCAGAAATCATTTAAATACACACAAAACATTTCATCTAAATCGGTTGAACCCTTTTTGAATTTTAGCGAGACTAACGGATAGCAATTTAATTTTTAAATTAGGCCGGGGAAAAAGTTTCTTCGTATTTTATATACAAATTCAAGACATTCTTTTTTCAAACTTTAATTACGTTTAATGATCACTGTAGTAAACCAAAAAAAAATTATTTACAGGATAAAATACAACAATAAATAAATTAAAATTTACACTCTAAAATAAAATATAATATACTAGAACAATGAACCTAAAACTAAAAACCTTAAAAACTATAATGTAATAACTAAAATATATTATTAAAAAGGAGTCACTTTAAGCAAGGTTCCGAAGATACTGGCAGCGTTCCCCTTTCAATAGCTAGACTAATTCTTTGTCCGAGGTAGCTGCCAGCTCTTCGGTCTCCTGGGATGTCGACTAACCTTTATGCTATTTCCTTAATAGATCAGAAAATTTGAAGTAGGTTTTTACTTTTTGTGAAAAGTTAATATTGCGATTACATTTAATTATAAATTAAATGTAATAAATAAATAATTAAATATAGGGATCTAGGCTCCGAATATGATTTTGTCCCATTCGGTGTCGAGACCCTTGGTCCGTAGGGTCCTAGTACTATAAGCAAAAAGGTTAGTCGACATCCTAGGAGACCGAAGAGCTGGCAGCTACCTCGGACAAAGAATTAGTCTAGCTATTCAAAGGGGGAACGCTGCCAGCATCTTCGGAACCTTGCCTAAAGGGACTCCTTTTTAATAATACATTTTAGTTATTATATTATATTTTTATGGTTTTTAGTTTTAGGTTCATTGTTCTAGTATATATTTTATTTTATAAATTGTATAATTAAATTTTATGTATTAAATGTCTGCACAAGTAAGAAACAATTATAATATTATGTATGTGCATTTTGTTCCACAACTTGTTACCATCTTGTAGGTAGTGACATAATCCCGTTGCTGTAGAAATCTACGGATTTTTGATCAAACAAATGCGACAAGTAGTTTTGACAGTCCTCTCTTAATATTAACCTAACACCACCCGAAGAATACTGAAGAGACCGAAACAGTTGAAAATCTAAGGTTGCAAGGTCAGGACTATATGGTGGATGCATTAACATTTCCCAACCAAGCTCTCTCAATTTTTGCTGAGTGGCCAAACATGTGTGTGGTGTGGCGTTATCATGATGAAAGACCACTCCTTTTCTGTTGATCAATTTCGGCCGTTTTTTCGCTATTTCTTGCTTGAGTCTCATTAGTTGTTAGCAGTAGAGATCCGAATCGATGGTTTTGTCCGGCGGTAAAAGCTCATAATGAACGATGCTCTTCCAATCCCACCATCCACACAGCATCATCTTAACGCGTGTTGATCCGGCTGTCGCTACAGTCTGTGGAGCTTGGCTATCTTTTGACCATGATCTTTTACGCACGTTCTTGTTGCAGGTGATCCACTTTTTATCACCAGTAATTAATCTTTTCAAAAATGGCTCGATCTCATTACCTTTCAATAGAGAATCGTAAATGAGTACACGACTCATTAGGTTTCTTTCGGTGAGCTCATGTGTTACCCAAATATCGAGCCTTTTTCATTGCCTTTTTTGTATTACCAGACTTTTCCAAATGGTTCAGAATTGTTTTGTGGTCAATCCTCAATTTCTCGCCTATGTCATAACTACTAATATGACGATCTTTCTCCACTTTTTCAAAAATGACATCGACTTTATCCGTATGAGGGCGACCAGAGCGAGCTGCATCTTTGACATCAAAATTCCCGGACTGAAAACGCATGAACAAACTTTATGCTACTCTACTGACACTGCATCAGGTCCATAAACGTCACAAACTTTTTTCGCGGCTTGAGTTGCATTTTTTCTTTTTTGTAATAAAACTTTAGAATGCACTTTTGCGGACAGTGAAACAATTGGAAAAGTAGTTTTCTTTTTCTTAATGTCCTATTTGATGTATTGACATTAAAATCAGCCAGTTACAAACAGTGCAACCAAAGAGATTTTTCTTCAGTTTTATACAAATAAAATACGAAGAAACTTTTTCCCCTGCCTATTTACCACTGGTTCAAAAAATACATCTGTCCCGGGAAGAACCAGCAAGAAACCTAGAGGGATTATATTTTTTAACTAACTGTACGAAAAATCTAAGTGCGAAATTACAAATTATTGCATCAATTTATTCTATTGCGTTTCGCTTTGCTAATTTTGCCATGGAATACTAATGACATTACACGCATAAATTACTTTCTAGGTTAAATGTATGTTATGAAGACAAAGGTTGTGTTAATCTCGTTAAATCCTTAGAACGACACAATGAACCGCTAATTAAGAAATATTGCGACTTAATTTTTAATCAACTTCGATTTTATTATACAATGGTGGCGAACTAGCTTAAAGGCTGATTTACACAGGGTCAGTCTTGTGTATGTATACAGTACAAGTAAGTGCTGGCGCCGAAGACTGACTTGTACTGTATACATGCAGTCAGTAGTCGTGGTAACTTCTTCAGGGTGTACGCACGTTATTGAAGTCAGTGGGAAAAAGGAATTCACGGTAATGCCAGAATTTACAACGATTGAAATATTTATTGAGATAATGTTCCTATCTGCTGTTGAAAGAGTAGACGGAAATGTTTTTTTAATAAGAGATATTTAAAAAGAAACGACTTCGGATAAGAAAATGAATAGACGACAGAAAAGAAACTGGAGGTTCTGCTTTGTTGTTGACGTGACGTCACCCTACAATGCAGCGCTAGCCTCTGACCAAGCACTGACTTGGTCGTTTAGATATGGTTAATACCGCTGGCGCGAGTAGTAGGGGGAGTGGACTGACTGCAAGATATTCAAGCAGGAATATTGAAGTCGGCACTGGCATGTCTGTATCGGGTCAGTACTGACTTGCCTGGAATTTGGTACCAGTTACTGGCCTGTGTAAATCAGCCATGACATTCCGTCTGACCGTAAGCAGACTTTGTGAGATAGCTAGATGCTAGATATATCTATCATCAATGGCGTTATCACCTCAGAGGACTTACACTGGTATCTCAATACCAATAAAAAGGGTCTTCGCTTCTTGTCACTCACCAACCAAACATAGAAGCATTATTCTGCTATTTTATGCTGGTATTCTGTGTAGTAAGAACGTGATCTTTCCCAGGTCGGCAGCCTTTGTTTCTTGCTGTGGAACCAAAAGCGCCTCCAGCATACCTCTGTCTGAATTGAAAAACAGAGACAAAAAATTATTTGCATGGAAGTGTAGCTTAATTACTCTGGTG